CCCCGGAGCTCCCCGGCCGCCCGGCTCCTCGCCCGGCTCTGGGACCGAGCCCAAGCCACCGCCGGGGCCTGCGCTTGGCGCCGCTCTGTCTCCTGGTCCCGAGGCTCCCTTTCTTGCCTCCCCAGTCTGGACCTTGCCTCTGGCCACCCCTCTCTCACCTGAATTAGAGTCCTTCTCCTCAGTTGGCCCAGTGGCTCCGGGGCCCCCCAACTCAGCGTCTACTCGTGGAGCCGTGGCTTCCTGGAGAGCAGCCCTTAGGGCAAGGGCTTCGGTGTGTTTCTCTCTCCAAACTTGAAGATCCCCTTCCTGTCTTTTCAAATTTACTGTCATGGCCCCAAAGCCGGGAAGCGAATGGTTTACTGTCCTGTCCCACCTGGTGCTGGGAGCGGTGTCTCTGCATGCGGCCGCCAGCTCTGTGCAGGTGAGTATCCCTATCTCCACACCTAAGGCCCTCCCGCGCGTAGTGGAGACTCCACCACAGATCTCTGCACTGCAGTGGCTGGAGGCAAGTCTGGGGCCAGCTTTCCTTAAGACCCCCAAACGTTTGTGGTGTAAAAGGGTAATCCTTGCTAGATACCGTGGCTCAGGTCCACATGTGAACTCAGGACCTGGTTTTTGTCCCTTAGCTTTTTTTTTTTTTGCTCAAGTCTAATGCTCTGCCCACTTGAGCCACAACTCTACTTCTTTGTTTTTGGAGATAAGAGTCTCATGGATTTTACTATCCAGACAGATTTCAAACTTCAATCCTCAGATCTCAGCCTCCTGAGTATAGAGGATCACCCCTGTCATGGGGCTTGAATTTAGGGCCTGGGCACTGTCCCTGAGCTTTTTGCTCAAGGCTAGCACTCTACCATTTGAGCCACAGTGCCACTTCCAGTTTTCTGGTGGTTAATTGGAGATGAATCTCCTGGACAGTCTTGCCCAGGCTGGCTTCAAAACCATGATCCTCAGATCTCAGCCTCCCTAGTATCTAGGATTATAGGCATGAGCCATTAGTACCTGGCTCTGACAAGAACTCTTGACATTATTTGAAAAATAAAACAAAAGGGCTGGAGATGTGGCTTAAGTAGTAGAGGCCCTGAATTCAAAACCCCAATACCACCAATAAATAAATAAATAAAATAAAGTGGTTCCTGGCTTTTCCCTACATGTCTTTCCTTTTCCTGTATCAACAGTCAAGTCGAGGGGCTGCTGCTGGCTTCCTGCTCCAGGCTTTGGCTGCTGCCACCATGCTGGCCCCAGGGCTGAGCCCACATGAAGACTGTTTTGCTGGAGCCTGGGTGGCGACAGTAATCGGCCTGCCCCTTCTGGCCTTTGATTTCCACTGGGTGAATGGGGACCGATCCTCTGCCAACCTGCTACTGGGAGGAGGCATGGTGCTCGCTGTCGCTGGTGACCACCTTGGTCCCGAAGGCTGCTCTGTCGCTGGCCAGGCAGTGCTGTTGGTGGTCGCTGTGACCATCCTCATTGTGGCTGTCTTCACAGCCAACACTTATGGAATATGGGGGGGTGTAATGCTGGGGACTGCAGGCCTGCTAAGCCGTCTCGAAGAGGACAGGTTGCTGCTGCTGCTGAAGGAAGACATCTGTCGCTGGGCCCTGGCTGCAGGCAGTTGGGCCTACTGTCGAGCCCTGCACACACAGTGCTCACAGTGGGAATGATAGATACAGCAGGACAGGCCCCTGCCCCGGCTACCATCTCCCCTCCACTGGCCTGCTCTTGGGGGGCCTACTCCTAAAGGCATGGCATTGGTTTTCCTTCTTCCTGAATTGAATCCGCTGCAGGTTGGGGCTGAGCCTGAATGCTGTCCCTTTTCTAAGGACTTGCCTAGACAAGAATAAAAGAGACTGGGTCCCAAGTCTGTTTGGGAATTGGTCATGTGAAGGGTATGGATCAAAAGAGGTTTGATTTCCAATAAACTTTAAAATTTCTCCAGGAATTTGGAATTAAGTCTTTTTTTTTTTGCCAATCTTGGGGCTTGAACTTGGGGCATGGGCACTATCCCTAAGCCTCTTTGTGTTCAAGGCTAGTGCCCTACCACTTGAGCCACAGCACCACTTCTGGCTTTTCCTGAGTTTATTGCAGATAGTCTCACAGACTTTCCTGTCTGGGTTGGCTTTGAACGAGATCCTGAGATCTCAGCCTCCTGAGTAGCTAGGATTACAGATGTGAACCACCAGCATTTGCTAATTAGTCCATCCTTCAGAAGGATTAGAGGGCCTTCGTTGAGCATCTTAAAGCCCCTAAAACTCCATCTGGTTTCTCTGTGGGGATGTGCTGGAATTACCATACAACCTCATTCCTGGCACCTTTGCTAGGAGGGCTTCTGTGTTGGGAAGAGCTCCTTGCTCTCTTGAGACATGGTGGGTTTGCAGATATCCTTACTGGTCTTGGCAGGTGACCCTCTGAGCTGAGCTGTGCCACACGACTCCCGGAACCGCACATCCTTCTCAGGAGCTGACTCAATTGCTACCTGTGTGCCCTCTAGGTGTGCAAGCCAAGACCTTCCCTTTAGCTCTGGATTCCTCCTCAGTCTCCAACCCCAGGGGTAGGAAACAGGGCTACACAGAGCATTGGATTTAAGGCTTGAAGTGCACCGCTCCCACGCAGTTCCTATGCTTGCATCCCGCGGAAGCATACCCTGTCCTGCAAAAGTCAGGGTCATTCGTGCCCTTCCCCTCCAGTGAGCCAGGACAGGGCCCAGCACATGCAAATCTGTCTCTAGGGACAATGGTGGGTGCAGGGACACCCCGTCGTGGGAGTCTGGGGATGCTCATTGCAGCTCGCTCCCACAGCCGCTGAGGAGGACAAGGTGCAGTCCCCGACCCTCGCGCAGGCCTTGAGCTGCAGGTGTGCACCCCCAGCGGGCCGCCTGGACCCCGCCTTCTCCAGTCCGCCTTCGGCAGAGGGCGGGCTCTCGGCGCCCTCGCTCACCCATTGGCTGTGCCTGCCGGCCCGTCTGGCCCCGGGCGGCGCTCCTATTGGCGCGCGAGGAACCACGTAGCGGGAAGAAGGGGGCGGTGGCGCGCGGGGGTGGGGCGCGCAGCGAAAACAAAGATGGCGGCCGCGCCGGGGTCGGTGGCCGGGGTGGC